CAAATGAACAGATACCAGTACTGGACCCAGCCCACCCAGAGAGAAAACTTTCAAGATACCTGAGCTCTCCAAACAAAGCGTGCCAACCTGACACAGGTTTCTGACCAGAACTGGTTGCAGAGGAGGTTGGTATCAAAGACAGAATGGAAGTAGAAGGTTCCTTTCCAACTCCCAATGTCTGTAGCAGAAGGATAGACAATTAGGGATGGGAGTATGGCACTGTGCTAGATGACAACGTGAGATGCACAGACTTGCACGTCATGTACACTGATTTTTTTCCAAGGCTGGCTCTGTGTCTTTTATAAAAAAGAAAGAGCAATCTTTAACGGGCTTCAAACTAAACAAACCTAGTGGATATGATAAACGCAAAAGCAAAATTATTCAGGATAATTGAGCTGTAATCATTAATAGGTAACCCTAACACAGGGAGTGAAGAAAGAAAAGATTTAAAAACTCCTTACAGATTGAAGAATGGTTAGTCCCCCTAACTTAGTACTTCTTATCCTATTGGAAAATTCTGTTTCTCAAATCAAACCAAAGCAAGCCCAAGAACCAGTTGCAAATTGTCTAGCATGAGCAAGGAAACATTTAAGTATCTTACTGAATTGTTTAAAAACAACAACAACAACAACAACAACAACCGCAGTGACATCATGAAACAAAGAAGTTTCACAAATAAATGTGGTGTCCCTGCTTGCTTTTTGCCTGCAGTTGGTCCCCACCCGCTTTGGAAAAAGTCAACAGAGTGTGTAATATGAAAGCCTATAACTTGTCTGGTGGCTAAAAACATTAGAAGGTATCTTTCCAGAGATCTCCAAGTGTAACTTGGCACATTGCTCTTAGGCAGGTTGCTCGCAATAAAGGAATACTGTGCCAAAATGATGGGGATTTTCCAGATAGCATCAGGGGTGGGATTCTACCAGTTCGCACCTATTTGCTAGAACTGGTTGTTAACATTCTAAGCAGTTCGGAGAATCGGTTGTTAGAAGAAATTAGTGATCTAATCCTGTAAGGAAGGCAGGAAGGAAACATTCTGGTGTTGCTTACAGAAACTGCCTCACCGTTAATCCTTATTACATTCTTGGCAGGACTAGACTTCCTGTCTCAGGAACCTCTCTGGAGTTTTCTTTCCCTTTTGTGCTGGTACTTTGCTTGTGTGGAGTGACCATTCAAAGTTACAATGGCACTGAAAAAAGTGACTTATGACCATTTTTCACACGACTGTTGCAGCATCCCCACAGTCACGAGAGGCCAGACGAAGAGACGTGTGCCTTGATGTGAGTGATATTGAGTTGGCCACGCCCAGCCAATAACATGACCACCAGGCCACATCCACCCAGTCACATGACCACCAAACCATGCCCACCAATTAAGCCACGCCCACAGAACCGGTTGCTTAAAAATTTGAATCCCATCCCTGGATGGCATGTTTGTTAGAAAGTAAAGATACGGGTAGGTTTTAAGTATTTTTCTTTACAGAGAAATCAGATGCACAAAACATTGTAAAATCTCCTCCCCTGTCCTCCCCTCCCCCCTCCTTTCCTTAAAAATGGGAACTAGAAAACAAAAGGTTTACAAGCAGAAACATATAAGATTACATGAAGAAGGTGCTTGATGATGTGCTTGTCAGGTTTTGCCCAGGCTTTTTGTATGTGCAGCTTTAGCACTTTTTTTGCTCAGAAGGCTGATTTAAATAGGGAAAGAGGGAAGGAAACTGCCAACACTGGCTGTAGCTACAGCTTTTCCATGGCTTCTGCTGGCAAAGGATTGTGCATGGCCTATATTTTGTACCATTTTTATAATCGGGAAGGAAGCAATTTGGCTTGCTCTGTCATTTTGCCTATTCCCCCGGCCTCCTTTCCAATGTTGCCTGACAGCGCCAGTCCCTGCCCCATTTCCTTTCCCTTGCAGAATTCGCTTCCTCCCTTGTAGTAGCAACCTCCTTCCCAGCCTTTCACCCTTCCTCCCCAGCAATGACTACTTTTGGACATGGAAAAGCGCTAGTTCATATTAGTATTATGAGCATTTTCCATATTATGCGGTAGTTCATATTATGAGCCTGGGACTTCATGCCAACTTGACAGATTGCTAAAACCAACCACTATAAATAGCTACCTACTTTTGCCCATCTCATCTGACATATAAAAGAATTGGTGATTGTTTCTCCCACTGATGGGACACTCTGCAGGAGGGGAAATATAGGTGGATAACTATCACTTTCCTTTACTCGTCCCACGTTAAACAGGAAGGACAACCCCACTCCCCAGCCTCATGACCAAGGCTGCATAGAGACCATCAGTAAGGGCGATGCAATTTATACCATCGTATTTTTCCACTGGTTGACACACTGGAGAACAGCCCTTTAGTATGGCCAACTAGTTGCATCCGATATTAAAGCGTGCAATGCCATTTTATGTGACCACGGGGTAAGACTTGAAGAAACATAAAAGGGAAGAAGTGGAGGAACTGGACAAACGAACCTTTTGATGTCTCCAATGCCAGACTGCTTTCAAGTTGCTTCTGAGACTTGGGGCAAGAAAAACAGTGGCACCATCCATTCCTTGGCCAAATCAGCCACAAAAAATTGTTAGGAAAAAGGTGGGGGCTGAGCTGTCATATTGCTAAACAATTGCGTGTTCCTTTTCAAGGTTTTCATCTCTTGCTTAATCTTCAGATGCTTCCACTGGTAAGCTTCCCATATTTTTCCCACAGTTTCTTTTGATAAAAATGACTGTGTGAAGGGTAGAATAGCTAGAAATCCATCTGAAGAACTGCTTAAAGGCTAACTTTTAGAAACATTTATTTTATCAAACAAAATAAGATGGGAATCAGATCTAAATAAATGCTAGAAAAAATGCACTATTCTTAAGTAGCTTCATGTAACTCAAGTCAAATCTAGCCAAGCCAAAGAAAAAAGAAAAAAAGAAATGTACATTCTGGAATGTAAATGATGTTAATTCTCCCCTAAAACCTGTAGATATCAGTCTAGACATCATAGCTGTGTCTGTACAAGGTACCTATTTTAATTTTTAATCCAGGGGAACAGTTTATGTGAAGAATATGGTTCATGGTAAATGGGATATATTTCTACTGCTTAAAAAAGAAAATAAATCTAAACGTAAAATGTTGTACTAAGAATTAACCTATTCTAGTTTCAGCTTTATAATAAAATTGCATGCAGCATTTGTTAAATTACAAGTGACTAAATGAACTTGCTCATTAAATGTAGCTTTATTTTGGGTTTTTTTTAAACACAAAATATACCCTTCTACTTTCTATCATCAATTTTATCCACTAATCTTTCTGGCAATCCACTCATCCAGGTTCACCTTGAGAATACTTCTTGGTGAATTAGGCTTATAATTCAGATGGCTGCTAACTGCATTCATGTATCTTTTTAAAGAGGCTATTTATGGCAATGCACATAATTATTTATTTATAAAACAGCCACAAATGCCATGTGTAATAAAAACATTAAGCATAGAAAGTTGAAGAGAGGAATTGCTTGCATATATAGGGGCACAAAAGAAAAAAATAGGGAGCTCATTCAGTAAGGTAGTACTTCTTAAAACATTTTTAGATGTGGATTTGGTAATAGAAAAAGTAAAACATGATCTCGGGTAGAGAGGAAGAAAAGAAGGATGGCGGGGAGGAATAACCATGTTTTGATCCTGAACTCAAGTAGGAGAAGAATTTAGGACACAGAAAGAAAAGAAAGGTTGAGAATTGAGACACTGGAGAAGGGCATATTATATTTATACATAATTACACGTTTATCTCCTTGCTTCTCACATTTCTTTTCTCTTTGATTGAACTTCATGCACCGGCTTTTCAATCAGTACACAATATCCACTTATCCATCAAACCACTTTGAGGTTAAAAAAATTATTCATCAACTAAACTCTACAATTATGGGGTTGGTCTTTGCCTCAAAGAGGAATAACCTTTCATACAAGCCCCATGATGTCAAGAATGTGGCTATGTGTAACCTAATCTTTCCTTAGAATCTATTCGCAGGTATGAGGAATCAAGAAAGTTCATTTTGGAATTAGGGGAAAGCTCACTCTGACATTCATAGCATTCACAGTGCTGACTTAGAAGCAGGGCTTCTTCTAACCCCTTTGGCTGAACAGCCAACTACAGCAGGGGTGTCAAACTCAAGGCCCGGGAGCCCAATCTGGCCTGCAGGGTGCTTAGATCTGGCCCGTGGTGCCACCTGGAAACAGCGAAGGACTGGCCCATAGAACCCATTTTTGGTGCCAGAGGGTTGCAGGAGGCTGTCACAGCTGAAAAAGGAGCACAGGAGTGGCTCTCCAAGCACTGTTTTCACTGGCAAAGGGTTGCAGGAAGCCGTCATAGCCAAAAACAGAGTTTGGGAGCCTGTTTTCTCTGGCAGAGCACTCAGGGCACCATAGGCAGCCCCAACACAAGTGATGTCAAGCTGGCCACACACAACTTGGCTGCACCCACTCCGCCCCCCCTCCCGGGGTCAAGCACAACCCTGATGTGGCCCTCAATGAAATCGAGTTTGACACCCCTGAACAGTGTTTCCCAGAGTGAAGAATAAGACAAAATTGGAGAGAATATATGGTGGGTATGGCCACAGAAAGTCCATTAGGAAAAAGAATACTCTGCACCACTGAAGATAATGATTGCCTTTCCTATTTCAAGATCACTAGGAACTTTGCATTACATGATGACAAAATCTTCACCACAGAGGCCTTTTGGCATAATTTCATTTATGAAGTATGTAGGAATGCAATTATTAAAGTGTATAGAAAAAAGATAATGATTTTCTTTCCTATTTCAAGATCACTAGGAACTTTGCATTACATGGTGACAAAATCTTCACCATGGAGGCCTTTTGGCATAATTTCATTTATGAAGTACATAGGAATGCAATTATTAAAGTGCATAAAAATAGAAAAGTTGTACAGGTATGTTCAGCAAACCTGTAAAGGACAAAAAGAGAGAGAGAGAGAGAAAGAGAAGAGACTCACTTTTTTCGGAAGGAATCCATACAAACTAGTACTTCATCAAGTTCTGAGTCCAGCTGTTCTTTTTCCGCATCAATAGATCGCATTTCGAGATTCAGTTTGTTCATGTACCGGTCATAGAGGAGTTTGATGTCCAAATCAGAAAGGGAATTGTCTTGTTCTTTCAAAAAGTTCCATCTTGTGGCCAGAACATGGTTGTGCTGTTCCAGATTTTGGACCTGTGGATTATTGACAGGTGGAGAAGACTATAAAGATCTTTTTCATTCAGCTGCTGCCGCAACTTAAACATTGCCATATGGAAGGGATAAATAAAAGGATATTTTTGCCTTACTCTGGGATCAAGGAAAAAGGGATATGGGGTGCAGCCTGACTACAATCAGCTAAAAAGCCCACATGCCTTTGAATGTGGCTACTGCTTGGGAGGGGTTGTTTGTCTAGAATTTAACCCTTTGCACAATGTCTAGACAATTCTTTTCCCTTTTTTGTTATTCCTGCTAGAAGGAAGGAACGTTTTTTTTAGTATATGAAAGAGAGTGATTGGTATGTGCAGATGAGTATCAATTAATTTGGAAAACCGGGTACTTCACTTTACAACCAAATATTTTTAATTGACAGTTATTAATTAAATTAATATGCATTTATATTTCTGATCTGGCCCAGCCCTTTCTGGTGTGCGTGGCTTCTGCTAGGTCTGTATATCCATTTATTCACTCACCCACACAAACATGTTGTGAGTCACATGTACACATATATTAGACAAGATGTGGGTGGGCGTGGGTGGGTGGGAAATCTTCAGGATTAGTTTCGGCCAGAGGCATCTGCAGTATCAGATGCATTTAATCAAAATGAAAAGCAGCAGCATTAGGTGATAAAGTCTCTGCTCCTTTCAGAGGTGTGTACGTACAAAAAGGGCAGAGCTATGTACCACAACAAGACATTCGTTTCATCATCTTCCCACTACCAATCCAGAGGTGGTATTCAGCAGGTTCTGACCAGTTCTGGAGAACCGGTAGCGGAAATTTTGAGTAGTTTGGAATACCACCTCTGACTCGCCCTGCCCCCTTCTATTCTCTGCTTCCCGAGTCCCAGCTGATTGGCTGGGTCTTCTTCTGTTGCCCTGCACAGGAGAAGGGAGCTGGAAAGCAGGTTAGTGGGGTGGGGAGGGAATGGGGATTTTGTAGTAACGCTCCCCCAGGAGTGGGGAGGGAATCGAGATTTTACAGTATCCTTTCCCTGCCATGCCCACCAAGCCATGCCCACAGAACCAGTAGTGAAAATTTTTGAATCCCATCACTGTACCAATCCCTTTGCAGATCCTTCTAGTTTCAGCTTTTGGCAACCATCATTTGTTGATGTGAAAAAGAAGGGAGTTACACAGGATTTTGGGGGGCTGTGATAATAGCTGTTTTCTGTTTATTCTTCCTTGGGGACCATCTTATATTCAAGATTACCTTCCTTTTGGATAAGTAGAGTAGTATCTCAAATATGCACGTTAAATTGTTAATCGAGCCTATGGAAAAAGCAGCCACTGCCTTCCCCATAGCATTTTATCCAAATGTTATTTGTTTATGTAAATTAATTAATTTAAAACATTTAAATAACTGCCCATTTTCCAGGCAACTCTGGGTAGCAGCTTCTAATCGAACGTAGTTATTATGACATAACATAAGTAAATTCCCACAATTTATTTCATTACCAACATTCTAAAATCACCCATTCTTTGATAGATGGGTTTCTCTATAAACTGAATAGTCCCTTTTTGTACATAATTATTTTATTTCAGTCACACATTACTTCAGTTCACATAACAATGTGCTAGCAACCATTTAAAAAAAACAAACAAACCCCAAACTTTAAAAGGCCAATGACCAGTTTGATAGATAGAGAAGATAATGTGCTTCTGACTGACTTCAAGAAGCATCCTTAGCCTGAATCTTATAAGGTAGATAGTATGAATCTAAGGTTTTACGCCTTGGTTGTCTGGTGGGTCATTTTTAGGCTACTTTATGTGTCAATCTCAACAAGGAGCAGCACCTGCCCAATTTTATTTGGCTCAGGAGGCCAAGCAACTTCAGATTTTAATTAGTACAAGTAGCCCTTGATTTACGGTAGTTTATTTAGTGACCATTCGAAGTTCGAATGATGCTGAAAAAAGTGACGAGTTATAACTTCTTTTCACACAACCATTGAATCATCCCCATGGTTATGTGATCAAAATTCAGGTGCTTGGCAACTGACTCACATTTATGACGGTTGCAGTGTTGTGAGAACATCTTTTGAGAACTTCTGGCAAACAAAGTCCACAGGGAGGCCAGATTCACTTAACAATTGTGTTACTAACTTAACAACTGCAATGACTCATTCAACAACTGTGGCACGAAAGGCCATGAAATTGGGGGGCACAACTTATTTAACAAATGTCTCGCTTAGCAACATAATTTTCGGACTCAATTGTGGCCATAAGTTGAGGACTACCTGTACAGTCAAAGAAATAACAGGGCCGTAGACAAGAGCTTTAGAAGTATCTGAAAAGAAGGCCAGGGCTCATCATTTATGTACTGTGGATAAAAAAACCTGCACACTTGTTTCCAAGTGACACTGTACCCTTGTTCTCCCAAGACAATGAGCTTGATTCACGAGCATCTTTCCCTTTACTAGTACATCAGTTTACACTTGCAAGCAATTGTGAAACTGCAGAACAACATCGCTTTAGTAGTCCACAGAATTGTCTCCTATGATGGCGTCACCATCAACATGACATATTTCCTTAATACATCCTACTTGCTCCGCATACTTTTAAGAAGAGAATCGGAAAAAGACAGGGAAAGAGAAAACATATGCACAAAAAAGGTCTATCCAGGTTGCAGGTTTACAGGGCAGGTCAATCCACGCTTACTTGTACTGTAGATCAGAACTGATACAATTGGTGTAATCAAGCATCTTTCTCTCTCCACCCTTCCCTAGAGGTTTAATGTATTCTTCATGAAACATCCATCATCTTTTTTTGTTTTGGTGTGTGTGTGTGTGTGTGTGTAATCTTTTTTAGTCTTCTCACTTGTTTGCAGAGTAAATACTATGTCACCACATAAAGATTTTATGAGGGAGCCCTGAATATTGATTTATCATAACACCACGATTACATTCCCCTGAAGAGTTCCTGCTTGTAGGCTACTCCTGTATCACAATTATGCAGATGTGCTGTTTCCATCTCAAGAGCATTAATTTATATCTACACCCTTGATTTCCCCAGCTTAACCCGACCTCTCCATATAGCTGCCTCTCAACACATCGTCTTACCCACCTCTCTCTCTCTCTCTTTCTCTCTTTAACAGAGTACAGATGAAAAGCTGTGTAGCCCATTATTACATGTTACTTTTGTGGAGGAAGATCACATTATATTTGTTAAATCCTACTGGCTATCATGAAGAACCCTTTGATGCATCCCCATTCTCTGCAAATGCTAGCATCATATTTGCTCTTAAGTATAGCACTCTGATTAACAGCATAGTTCAGAAAACATGAAATACAGCTTGAAAATGTCCTGCTTCATATAGAAACATGCTGTAGAAATTTAAGAAATTGAAGGTTTGGTAATCTGAAACATAGTGGGAGAACTAAAAAAAAGTGTAAAAATCAGGCGATCATTAAGAAGATGTTGATTCAATAATTAGTATGTGGATAAAATTAGTTTATACTTAAATTTGCTCTTTCACTACCTTTTTTTTTTTTTAAAAGTTTAATATCTATTAGTTGTTCAGAATGCCTTTGCTCCCCAGTCTGTATTGTTTTATCATTCTGCATCCATATCGCTTCTGCTGGTCAATGGTAAATTCCATGAGGAAGAAACTTATCTTGGCAGTGATGTTCTAAGATTATGCCTCTTGTTCTGATACTGCCATTTAAATAAGTGAAAATATGTCATATTGTGGTATCTGTTATTATAAATTACTATCTGCAGCAGGGTAAAACACAGCTTTATAAAAAAGGAAAGATGTGATCTTATTTTCACAGAAGTCCCACAGAGATAATGCATTCCTCAACTGATGATCATTGTAATAATCTAGAGATCAGATGACAGATCTGATATACTTGAAAAGGAGCTAAGAGAGAAAGTAGATAAATAAACTGAAGCAAATCAACTCCAGCTGTGCTAAGAAAATAAATCATATGCTATCATCCCTACTCCTCAAGAAGGATTCATTGTTGAAATTAAGACAGGTAACAATGGGAGAGGTAAAAAAGAGATAACTTTCTGATTCTAATTAGGTGTTTTGTAATTTCATTAAAGCTTTAAATTAAAAAAGCAACAGTTCCAAACTTTTAAAACAGTGATAATTGCGGAGGTATCCAAATAGACAGGTATTGCCAGAATAATTCCTCTTGAAGATAAATATAAATGGAAATTTTTCACAACCCTCAAAAAAGTTACTCTGAAACACATCTTACTTGCAGAAAATGGTGTCTTTATACTGGCATTAGCTGTTTGAAATATATAACTCAATAAATAAGTAGCTTTCTGATTTGTTACTATGGTATTTTGTTGGGATGAATACAGTCAAGATTGGATTAATAGACATGGGCTGAAAAAGCTTCTTGGATGAGAAGCAAAACTTCTTCAAAGAAAAAACAGAAAGTCCTATTGCCTCTTGAAAAAATCAACTCCGGGACAACTATGAGTTCTCCATCATTTTCAGTCTCAGGATCATAAAGACCTGATCCATCACTTTTCTTCCTGGTTTTCCTGAAGCTAGATTGAAACTGTAAATTCTAAAAGCGAAGAACAGATCCTTTCACAAAGCCTTTCCTAACCAAAATGTCATTTATATTTATTATATTTCAGTTTTCATGATCCTTTGACTAAGACACAGCCCTGGTAGTTGAGATTCCAACCACATTAACTGGGGGTGGTTACAAGACATGAACTATCCGGAGGGTACTAAGTTAAGGTAATATATATTTGTTAATATTTTCTTCCATTTATCTACCAATGATTGATCTGAGCACCTTTCTTTAATAACTGCAAACAAACACTTCTCCATGAAAATCCCATGATGGGAAGCTGTGCCAACTCTCCAAATGCAATGGTTTCAATAGATGCGAGGAGCACCTCAGTCAAGAGAGTAATACTGAAAATTGATTTTTGAGCTAATGATCTCAGTGAATGAGGGAATATTTTTCTAACCGTGGGAGGGGATTGATTCTTTGGCACAGCTGATAG